TAATGTCTCGAGTATACGCGGGGCGCAGGTGAGGCTGTCGTCGATGATTGCTGACCTCCGGTAGTCGAAGTAACCTGACGAAATTGGGGATAACACGTTACGACACGCGACAATGCGATAGGAGCCGAAAGAACGATCGGACGAATCTCACCTGATTGTCCGGTGTTAGTCTCCTAGGCGCAAGCTGAGTGCTGGTGGTGGAGGAAGTGGAGTTCGCCCGCTGCCTGTCCAACAGCTGAGAAACTATCATGTCGACGGGATGATTCGAGTGTTGGGTGAGATGAGGATTGTTCGGATCGTCATCACCACCGAGGAACATGGGTCTAAGTTGAGAAGCCAGCTCGTCTCGCGTCCACTCCTTCTTGTCTGGCGGCAGCGCGAGACACGGTGGGAGCGCCGCTAGCTTCGCGTCACCGTCCGGGTAAGGAACGTTTAAGTAGTGAACGAGAACGACGTCTGGATTCTGCAGTAGCCAGTAGCATCGGCGGTGAAACGTCGGGAGGATCGCCGAGTGCACGTAACAGCCGTAGATGCACTCGACACCCTGAACCTGTGGTTCGATCAACCGAAAAGAGAAAATGCGCTTTAGCTCTAACGCCGTACCGTTGCAAACCGACTGCTCGATCGAGTTTCTTTGGAAATTCGTTAAGCTACCTTCAGCTTCATGTGATCCTCTCGCGTCGTCTTCCCATCCTTTCTCTTCTTCCAACAGTAACCGTCCCTCCGGTAACGGACTTTCTTTCTCGAGTACAGTAACATCGAACCACTTCGTGGTCGCACCTTCACCTCCCGACTCTGCCATTCCGCGTGCCTTTGGAAACTGATTAGGATGGCGGCGATTTCCTAGCAAGAGAAACATCGCGTTACAGGCAGCTAAATCTTTGCCCTAAGGGAACATCCCTAAAATTATCACCGAGCAGATCGGGCAAACAGCCGACTGCGCGACCAGGCTATTTATCGGAACCTACTGTTTTGTTATTTTATTCGTATTACGTCAGAGAAGGGGACACGCTCCGTAACCGCAGCCGGAAACCGCCCCTCAGATGAGGAGGATAAGGCAAACCTCGAGAGAAGTAGGATACACGGATTCGCCGGAACATATAGACACTCTTCGCCGAGGGCCGCTGACATCTGCCTTTTCCCTGGATTTCGCTTACTTTTGCAAATCGCGCTGATACATCTCCAATCTCCCCTTCCACGGCCCCCGTGTCCCAGAGCGTCGGGCGGTGGTTCAGGCAGAGATTCAGGCGGAGGTGCATGACTCGTGCAAAATATTCGCATACATTTCGCGGGGCGACGCTAAGAGATTCTTCGCATTGGAATTCCGAATGTCGAGGGGCTCGGTGGAAAGTGCACGGAGAAATATGAATCGCCGAGCCAGCCCCTCCTAGCCGGATCATCGCTATCCGCCGATGATGCTCGTCATTTATTATCTCTGACCCTCTTTCGTCGCGTACACGCGCGAAAGGAGTAGCGCATCAAAGGGAATCAGCATTTCCGAGCCGGTATTGAACGGCGATCGGTGAAAGAGATTCTGAAAGTGCATTCACCGAGATGCGAGATTGATTTTAACGATAACAATGCCGTCTTTACGCTGCCCATTTCCACTCAAAGTATGCAGCTCGATGCTTTCGATACGAATAAATAGTTACTTTGGATATTACGCTCGAGGAGGAATGTTTCGACTATAAAGGAGACACCGCGACGCGAATAAGTAAAACCGAATGAACCGTAACATTGCGAGATCGCGACGCGCGCTCGAGGTGCGCCGAGCAAACGCGGAAAGGCGAACGCTAAAGACCGCCCGGACAAGACCTCCAATTCCGCGAGTGAATTTTCTGCTGGAAATAGTCGAGCAACAAAGCGCTCACGTTCGTTTCCTTCGTATTTATGTACCACTAATAATAGTAACTCCGTGATTACATGGTCCTTTATTGATTTTCCGCGCGAAGAACCGGCCGGTACGATTCCGTACGGAACGCATGACAATGCGGTGGAAGGGAGGAAAAGGAACCGGCGCGGCTGCCGGGGGGCGGCGGGCGGCGGGCGGCGGCGGGCGGCGGGCGGCCGCTCGGCCCGGTAAAAAATCTAATTACCGGCGAACAGATTTCGCGTGGTTAATCATGACGCGCGGCCGAACGCAGCCCGACATGCAACTCTCCCCGACAATACGGTGAAAGAATTAAAGGAGTGCACGGGAGAGGAGTGATAAAAAGCTCTAGCCTTTAGACGAGCGGGAACACGCGCCGCGAATAAGAGAAAGAAAGCAATTCGCTCGTACGTATAAATATATTCCGGGCGAACATTTCGGGCCGAGGCAGATGGTTATCCGGGATTTTGCGCCGCGCGGCGACAGAACGGAAAGAAAGCAGCCTCTCTCTGACGGGCAAAAAAATTGAACAGCCCTAAAACATCGCGGCGCGGCCGTGCCGGTGAAATAAGTGAGTAGCTGCGGGGG